TTTGATTATAATTTATATGAAAGAGGAAATATTTTCACTACTATAGTTACATCTATTGCTTCCCATTCTTTGTTTATATTAATCCACATAAATCTACATATTTTACTACTAGTTTACTACTAGCACAGAAAACGTTGATTGAGCTGAGTGGAAACCGAGGCGGTCTATCTCCCCATAAATCGCGTAGATTTCAACCTAAATTATAAACAGGACCAACTTCAACAGTTCGATATTCGACAATTAAAAATGTACAGTTCTAGGATTTTAGGACTTTCTCAATAATTAAAATCACACATACACAACACACGAGTACATCCATAACCACTGCAAGATCCTCATGGTAACGCATCTTGGCCACATAAAACCTAGGTCAAATTAAAAACTCTACAGAAGCTAGCCCCGAACTGTTTTATGTCTGGCATACCCGTCGCTTTTATATGAGTAACCTTAAGTTTGGCCCTAAAAGCATTTAGGGTTAAACGATACACTCTAGAGGAGTCATCATATCACCCCCAGGGGTCAAAACGACCAGCATTGTTCTTACGATAAATAATTTTGTAGGTGTTTTTATATTCAAGGCGATTGTATGTAAATTCCGTGCGCGTAAATACTATTTAGAGAAATTACGAAATCTTTTGAATTTTAATATTATTTACTATATTGTTGCGTGAAGTTTCTAGGAACTATTCTATAATTATAGATACACAACTCAAACATACATTTTTGTAAACATATTTCCATATTCAACTATTTTCTGCTTCTCTCTTCTGCAAGTAATGGGCGACAAAAAAATCTTGCCTCTGAATATGTTTATTACAACAATATAATTTTTCTATTCTTTAAATCCTTAACAATACAAATTGCAACAAGATATAACTGCCCGCATGTTATAGATGGGCAAGTAGGTATAAAATTTTATTATTTATTTTTAAGTATGTAGCGCCATCTCTTAGAAGCTATTATTACTATTATTAACACGCATCGCAATCCAGCCAACAATAGCAGTACAAAAACTTCGTCCTAGAGGGAGCTTTATCATATTTTACATTCAATAACTAATCGAAAAATTCTTAATTATTTAATACTAAGCAAAAACGTTAGACGATAAATTAGTTACGAAAAATATGGATGAAAGAGTAAAGAAGACGTCGCAAACATGATGCAAGATTACTGCAGTGACTAAAGAATCACAGTACATAGATTTTGCAAACGTGTGAATTAATATATTGTTACGAAGACGGGTTGACTGAAATGTTTCTCGATTTTTCAACAAGTCAGATCGTTGTGGTTTTCAATAAGCTGAAATGTGATTTATGGCTGTTATAGGAGTGGCTCTATCACATATTAAAAAATTTTAATTTGCATAATGTTACCCTAGTTTTCAGGAGGCTGAAACATTTTTTCAGGCAGTTTCATAACATGTGTAGTCGAGTGGTACAGATTTCAGTAAACCCGCTTTCAGGACTAGTTATACCCCTTTGATGAAGGAATATTCTAGACTTTCTAGAGTCTAAGAGAGAATTTCTAGAGTGTTCAGTCTGGCTTCGAGAAGGTTCCGATCTTCCCTCTTTCTCGCGTATCATTTCGTCCTTGTCCCTCACCTAGAAAATTCGGTCTAGAATATTCCTTCATCAAAGGGGCATACTCTTGAAGAGATCTACGGCGTTTTCTATCCGATCCCCTAGCTCGTAACAATATGTATAAAGTTTCGTTCGTTTTGTTGTTAAAAGCGCTAAGGCCGATGAGCCTAGTGCGCAATATATTTTTTTAATTTACTTATGAAGCAATCAAAATAAGATGTTTTGAGGAAAGGGAGGGAAATAACAGTTCGTATTTCTTATAATTTATTAATAGTTTAGACATTACACTGAATTTCCACAATGAGTATACTTAACAAAGTATGAAAGCAACAAAAATTGCAACACTTGCAACATACACCGGACAACTACATTTATTTCTACGTTATAAAATCAGTACATTAATTAATATAAGAAACGAAACATTTACGACAGTATACTTGGGGCCTTAGACAATACCTTGCAAATTGCGATAGAGATGCCTACTAATGCCAATGCAATTGTATTGAAATGGTCACGTGACCAAACGTTAGATTTCTCATACGTTTGTTATACGCATTATTTTAACGATTGATGAAGCTTAGTTAAGAACCCTGTTTGTTATGAACATTCGACACATGGAATTACGTTTGACCATGCTAAAAGCAGTCGGCAATTTCTTAAAAATTCTTCCAACAATATATACATACCCCATTTTAATATGTAAGAATATCTTAAAAATAAGATGTCAAAGGTAAAACTTTCATTCAACAACCCCTTTAAAATGGGGCTACATATTGTTCAACAAGAACTTCAAATATTTTTGACAAGAATATTCTTATAAACAAGATTCTTTATTTATATACTATTAATATTTACAGTCAGATCATGTCAAGATTTAATCTTTTTAGAACAAATATTGAATTAACAAATTACTTATTCCGCCACAAAAAATATCACTCATTTATGTACAAGGGAGCGTTCAAGTATTACGTAACGAGTTTTTGGGGGTGTCCTTTTGTAAAACGATACGATGCGGGGCGGGGATTGAATTACGCGTTATTGTTAATATTATTATCGACTTACACCACAATATAGTAACTAAAGAGTCACTAGGTGGCACGAAAGGTTTTACTATACTCGAGTATAGTACTGTACTTGGGTACTGAAAAACGTTACGGCGAGTTACATGGGGGGGTCAATAATCTCCAAAAATTGCGTTACGTAATAGGAACGCTCCCTAAATCATATACAGTGTAAACTTCCTGAAACGTGGAAATTGCTACTTTCGCTCGCTTGCATTCTTGTCCATACAATTATACATTACATTACACCCATTCTAAATAACAACAATGTAATTTCAACATATTAAGCCCGTAACGTTTATATGTATTTTAGAAGACGAAATTGATAAGATTCGTGGCGAGTATGTTCTTTTGTTTGTCTTTTTTTATAACAATCGAATGTTGGCATCTGTACCGAAAATTGTAAGAAATTAGTTACTTTTTTTTATGTGATTACTTTACAAGTACTAGACTATCGTTAGGTTATTAATATGTAATGTCTATATGTTCCTATATTAAATAAATAATAGTACTTTCAGCTTATATAATAGAGTTTACACTGTATTAGAAATAATTGAGAGTTTAATTTGATGTGTAAAAGTTTTTCATGACGGCAAAAACAATAAATTAGAGAAAAATCAATATTAATTAAATCACAAAATGTCTTACAAATATCTTTACAAGATAGTCAATGTACACTTGAGGCGCCTCATGTGCCAATTATAAATACAAGTTAAATTGTACCAATAATAGTTGCTTAAACTTAATAATTTAAATTAGCCTAATTAAAAAGCACACAATAAACCTTGATTTCACATAAAAGTATTAATAATAAATGCAATAAAATATATTCAATGGTATTTTTGTATCTGTCATTCTTAATTAACCTGGATTTATTTTATATTAATTAAAAGATAAACTTTCTGTAATCTAAAACTTGTATGAGACTGGTTTTACCAATTCTTACTAAGGTTAGTTAATTCGATGGAGTAATTAAAATTATTACGGGTTTCAAGTCGATCAGATTATAAAGAACAAATCAAAACATACGCCCATGCATCACGAGTTTTTGTATTAACGCCCTTAAATATAAAACTTAATGAGAAAAACAATAAGTGTGAAATATACAGCAAAACGAGAGTAACATTCCTGACTATAATATAAGAATGTTTGCACAACACAAGGATTTGGATAGTAAATTTTTGTATGGAGACCATGAGCAGTGCGTCGTGGCCGAATTTGGAACTATAAAAGGCCACCACCATCACAAGTATGGAAAACAATCGTCCTATCAACGATATCTTATGCGCTATTCGTATAGACAAATAGTCGAAAGTATCGAAATGTTTCAGAGACAAAGTTATATTGAACTGCCCTACAGAACTGGTTTATAAATTTTAATTAAAATTCTATTAAATAATTGAATAAGCGTTATGTATTCCGTCTCGTCAAGGTGCAATACAATACATATTATAAAGAAAATATGATATTCCTCCGATGTGAATCCTAGGAAAAATAATCCTCTTAGAATAAGCATCAAACTAATGTTAGTTTAGTTCCATAATTATTTTTTCACACTACTTATACAATCTTAACACCTTATATCAAGTTTTTATATCATAATTGAATAAGTTTACAAGTGACAATTTACATTATTTTACACCAAATTTTGTTAAATTTTAAGTTTTTTTGAATTTCGAATATTCTTGGTATATTTACATTTGAGTAGACCAGCGGAATGTAATTTAAATTTTCAAAAATATGAGATCTATACTTGTCCCATTACCCACTTTGGGACACCGGAATAAACTATTTATGTGTATCATGTCTTCTAGAGCAAAATATTTTGTCAAACTCAATTCAGTTATAATCTACCAAAGCATATCTTATAAAACTACCCACAATTCCATAGGATTAATAAAACAAAGTGGAACTTCAACACCATATGGACAGGAAGTACCGTTAACACAAATGTTACAATGTTTTAATAACTAATTATTTTAGAAAATTTACTTGTTACTTATTTTTTTGCATTGGAGTTGATTTTAAATTTATTTTTGTTGAAGAATTCTCTTGAAAAGCTCTTTTAATTCATGTCAAACAGTTAGTTATTTTTTGGCATGTCAAATGTGTAAAAATGCAAAAAAATGGAGTAAAGTTTGATATAATACATACTTCACCTCCAGGTGGTGTTAAAAATACCGCTCTGCACACGTAGTTAACTAAACCATTTCATCAAAACAGTTGTAAAGACCAATGTCACTATCTTCGCTTGCACCTTAATCACTAGATGTCACTATCACTGTCACTGTGTCAATATCACTAGCACTCACAAGTGTCAAAATTCACGTATAATGAGCACCTTTTTAAAGTCCCAGGATCATTCGGGCTCAGTATACATGAATGAGAACCGATCGTGGCTGGTTGGGGGCAGAACTTTGCCTTCTATCAGGCACTGCTTCACCCACGTCGTGGAAACCAGGGGGATGTTATCTTGATTTGCCTTGTTTTGGACCTGGAACATAATAGTAATTTATGCAACTGTCATGTAATAGAGGGTATTAAAACATGAGTGTAGTTTTTTTAATCGAGCCGCAGGCGAGTTTCAACATAAGATTATATTATATGCATACACTACTTTATTTAATCTCATGGCTATAGGTAGCTACATTAAATAAAATGCAATATAAAAGAAACAAGTCTGTTATTGGTCTATTGGCTCGGAACCAGCGCGCTCACCACAGATTATGTGTACTTAAATGAAATTAAAACCTCCTTGGTCGGGACACATTGTACTTTAATAATTAAAAAAATATTTTAAAGTTTTTTTTTGTTAGGAAAATAATGCTTTAATTTAATTTTTTAATTTTCTTAAATAAGTATGTTACTAAAATAAGCCAATAAAAGTCTGTATTTCATTTCATAATTAGAATATTACGGAATGAGATTATATATAAATAATTATGATACTGATGCATAATAGGGGTTATTTATTTATTAATTCATGTGCGTTTTAATATTTTCATGTATATCATTAATTTAATTTATCTAAAAATTTCTTGTCCTTATCTTGAAAATGTCTGTCTTGTGTCTTTTCTTTCTTTTTTTTTTTAATTTGACAATTATGAAAAATACTAATTTGAGAAAGAGTAAGTTTTATTACTATGCTTATATTTAAGTTTTAATTAAAACATGTTTTCCTACAATAAAATAAATATTTTTATCATTTACAAGCATTATCAATAGTGAGGGATACTGAAGACTTCCAAGAACTCCATTTGATGCCCTTGACATGTTCTTTACGTCTATAGATACAAAAGAGAACTCTAAAAATGTCATTCTAGTTTCTATTTCAAACGATAATATTATTTTTACCTCATGTGGGCAATCCCAGTCGGTGACCAAAGCATATGCTCCAGACATGTTCAAGTCTTCTTCATTGACAACTCTGGTAGATGCCCCGGCGAGGCTACAAACGCGGTCCCAGAACTTTACAAATGTGTCCTGTTCCCCACATATCAGGATCAATTTGTCCTTGAAGAATGTCGGGTTCCGTTTACCAGATGATGGGACCTGGAAATACGTTATATGAGAAAAGATTTTTTGGTGACATGTTTTAATAATTTGTTTCATAATAGGGTTGTAGCTTTCATGTAATTCACGCCTTGGGCCTTGATGTTGAGTTGATCTTTTTGGTCACATTTGACTTACCCAATTGATAAAAGCGTTCGTATTTAGCGCAAGGCCTGTCGGAAGGGCGTAGGCATCTATGTCCAACAAACGCCCAGAACTGCAGCTCATTATCACCCACCCGTGGGAGACAGCGCGAATGTCCGCGGCAAGGCAAAGTATGTACTTCATTGTTAGACAAGGCCGGGGTGCGATAAGTTTGCACACGGAATATTTGTTCTTGGGCACGTCTTCGAAGTCACTGAAAATTTTATTATTATTAAATGTGCAATACAACATATATTTAAAAACTATTTGAATATAGTCTTAGCGGAAAGAGAACCAGCCTGTAGTTTTTAAATTTTATCACTCCTGTGTACTTTGCAAGTAAATATATTATGTATAATTAGATACAATTTCAGCTTTAATAAGACATTTCGATTCATATCACAAGTGCTAATCTCATTGTAATATTTTTTCTCGCCCCATAACAAAAAAATAATTTTCTTGTTCAGAAACTTTAAAAAAAACGTGATAATTGACGTAATAATTGACATAATTGATTTGTGTAGTTACTTATAATTTCTTACAGAAGACTAATTTATGGATTTGTTTAATACCTATACACAGTTCCACCGCCGGCTTCCAACTGCTCTCTCAATCGCTCCTTATTGAAAGGCCGGTTACAGAAGACTAAGTCCTCACTGTCAGTACCAACCATAGAAGATGACGTCTCACCATCTTCCTCTGATGAATAGTGACGCGTTTCTTGGTTCTGAAATATTCAAATAAAATTAATAATTGTTATTTTTAAGATGGATTAGATTGTACTAATGAATAAATAAATCAAAGAATATTCAATCTATTTTAATAATTTTACTTGTACACAGAGATTATATTTTACACAGATAATTTAACATATAGTATAAAAAAACACAGGTAGTATAAAAAAATGGCAACTAAAAAGTTTCTTTTGAGAAACTGGTTGCCAGTTAGTTAATATGAAAAAATACAAGAAAAATGAAATAATAGTTAGGCAACAAAAATATCTTATTTTCTGTTGTCTTCTTTTTCTTAATTTTTTTTGTCCTGTTTTGTTTTGTAGTAAATAAAGTATTATTATTATTATCCTAAACACATCCATCCAAAAAACTATTATGCAGCGCTCTGTGCCCACACAAATTCGCCCGAATTTGGAACAAAACGATACCATGAATTTAGCCATGACTTGGGGAAATTGGGCTTTAAAGTCAAAAATAGATTTCGTATTGACGTATAACTATCGTAAAGTTTGTATTAACGCCTAAGTTTTGTTCATTTAAGATTTAATATTGTAGTTAATACCTTCAAACGAAAGTTATAATTGACAACATTTATTAATATATTACATTTTATCGACAGTATTGCTTTTCTAGGGTTTTTAGTGGATTGAAGCAAAGAATACACACTAATACTAAGCATTGATGACGGATTTTAAGGCGAAACCATTTATATTATTAAAGGATGATAAAAATTTACTAAGAATTAATTTTGCCTTACCCTTTCAGCTTCATTTTCAGAGATTTTCCCTCTTACAGGTCGAGGTTGATCAGTGCAAGTGAGTAAGAAGTGGAGTCCCGCAAAAATAGTGCTCCCCGCAGTGGGTATTGGCCCTAGCATGGACACAGTGTCTTCGTCGTTCTCAAACTTGGTTAACTTGGAATTTTTCTTGCCTATATTTTGCTTCGCCGCACCTTTCAGTTGTAAGGGCCCAGCTAGTTTTAAATGATAATATTAAAACGTATTTTATACTAGATATAATAGAGATTACAGAAAATTTTATAGTTTTATAGCTGTTATATATACATACGTCGAGATTAGTTAAAAATGTTTTATATACAATGCATTCATAACGCTAATTTTATCAATAAAAATATATATAAATTACGTGTCACGTTGTTTGTCCGCTATGGACTCCTAAAACTACCGAACCGATTTCAATCAAATTTGCACACTGTGTGCAGTTTGATCTATCTTAAAAGATAGGATAGCTTTCATCTCAATTTATACCCGCAATATTATTTTATTGCAAAATATTTGTTTATTATTTGATAGTCACAATTCTAACAGATGGCGCTGTGTTGAAAGTACCAACGTTTCAAATAAGATACAATTTAATGGCATAACCACCAATAAAGCATGGTGGTCCCCATGACTGGTGTTCTCCTACCGTTTCCCTTGAATAGTTTACTACTATTTAATATAACAAAAACCTTAGCCACAGCAACGCTTGGCCGGTCTGCTAGTAAAAACATATATCTCATAAACTTTACTACTTCTTCAAATTAACTGAGCGTCTATAGTAACTTTATCGTGATATTCAAAACTATTGTACATACAAGTGTCGTAACTATAGATGGTATACCATCTGGGGCCCGTGACAAATTCTTTTGATCACGTTGTACTCAGTTCAATTTTAATATATAACTTCGAGATTTTCAGCGTACTCAATTACAAGTTGTATATTTTCCACTAATGGGCAAAGACCTCCTCTCTTAGGCGAGAGGGAATGGTCTGTAGTCCCAACGCTAACCCAATGCGTATTGGAGACTTCGCATTCATCCATAGAACATAATATCTCCCCCCCGCCCCTCTTGGGTCGGGGGCCCATGGCATTTTGCCAGCCCTACCACCCTATTGTTCCGCCTCTGGTTCATACAATCTATGCAACAGTAGCCAAAAAATATTATAAGCGCCACCTATCGATCGAATGCAATAATAATAATTATTTATACTGCCATCTATGAACTAAACGACAAACCTTTGACTCCATCAATTTTTCTCGGCGTTTTCTGTACTTCAGGTTCAACACCAGCCACTTCTTCCAACCTCACGGGTGGCGCCGAGTTGCTGCTTTCACTCATCTCACTGCTCTCACTCGCGACACGCTTTCGACCGGGTGTCGGCGCGCTTTTTGGTTTCACGCCTGAAAATTGTAATATTAAAAATAAATTAATATTATATTCATCAAGAAATAAATTAATATTACAAATACCATACCAATAAGAAAAACGTGTGTGTACTTATGTACACGCGTTAGAAGTTATACTTCTTTGGCGTAACAAGATAAAATTCTTAAAAAAAAAAATTTACTCTACGTTTGTTGAAAAAACGACACTAACAATAGAAAAAACTAAAATATTGACTATAGCTAACTTCAGGGTGTCGGTTTTTTGCGACGGTGTGCGCGCGCATCGTAAAAATTTACTCTCATAATTATTCCCTAACGCGCCAAAAGAAGTATAACTTCAAAAATCAAAAGCAGTACATCCACGGATATCCCTATAAAAAAATACTCTCTTTATAATAACACTAATTTAAATACGAGACTGCAATGTAATCACTGATGATACCCAATTTTTTTTTTTAGCATCATCTACTAACCGGATGTAGATGCTTTAGGGCTCTTGGGTGATGAGATGCGTTTCCTTGCACTGGAGTTAGCGGCTTTGTCTCGACTGCGTGCGCTTCGAGGACCCTGAATATAAAGTTCATTTTGTTTTTTATAGAAGTTTATATAAACACAGTCACAGTTATGTATAATGTTTATTTACCATAGACTATAAAATCTTTTTTTTTAAGCTTCAAAAATAAGAAAAAGAACAAATGTCAGTGACGTGCTACAAAAAATAAGAAAGCTTAAATGGAACTTGACTGGACATATAATGAGGACTAACAAAGAAAAATGGACTAAGGATGTAATAGAGTGGTATCCAATGGAACGGGAAGAGAAAACGAGGAGGTCAAATTAAAAGATGATCTGTCAAAAGGATGGAGAAGGTCTGCCAAGGATAGAGAGACGTAGAAACAGTTGGGTGTGGCCTATGTCGACAGACAACCTGACCAAAGTGGTTGCTAATAAATTATTATTTTCGCTATGTAAATTATATTTAAGAATACTACTGCTAAATAAGAATAGCATGTAAGTTAAAAAGGTCAGCGAATAAAGGGCTTTTATTATTAATATTATTATTATAAAAACTTCAGACATTTCAATAACATAAAAAATTGTGGAATAGAATTTTAACTTAAGATTTTATTGTGATTAACATATAATTTAAATTTTGATATGCTTATGCAATGGTTTTGATGGCCTAATTAAATTATGACGATAGGAAATTAAATGCAATAATTGTATTCAAGGTTAAAGTGATCAGTCTATTGATTAGTTTATTGATGAGTTTTTTACGGAAATACCTGTATAATATTGTCCAAGTCCAATTCCCGGTTGTGCCGTCGTCTCGGAGTAGAAGGGCTGAATGGAGAGCGGGGCCGACCTGACTCCTTCAGAGACTTAGCTTGGTCCTCCGTTAGGTAGAGCTCACTTGCCGTTACTATCACTATAGTGTCGCTGTAAGAAAAGACATTCTTCTATTGATCTTAGTCTTTTATTGAGCAAGTTTTTAAGATAATTTACTTTCCATATGTGTATGGCGTAATCAAAAAACTGCTTACCCATCCGTAGTACATCTATATGTAACAGTCCCACTGCTGTTTTCTTCAACATCGAGAACCAATCCCGGCTCATAATTTTGCTCTTCATCAACTAACGCATACACCGACTGTCCTTGCAATGGCAACTTCTTCATGTCACCAAATATTATGAAGTCATCCAAAAGTACTTTGCTCTGACCGTCGTCAAATTTGATAAGATACTTATTCGGTTCCGTTATTTCCAGAACCTTCCCGGAGTAGTAGCGTTTATCCACCCATTTGGCTAAGACAACTGTGTCAGGGGCAAACCCTGGGTATTCCGGCTTTGCTACAACTTTTTCCACAGGCGTAGCGGGTCTCGGTGAGGTAGGTCTGCGTTGCTTCTTCAGTTTTGTAACAGACTTAGGGGTTCCAACCAGACTAGCCAGTGGTTTCTCGTCTTTCGAGTCCCTAGGTGATTTTGGCGACATCTTTCCATCGCCGTTGGTTGGTGGCTCTGGCGAATTTATTTCGGCAAATTCAGCTTCTTCGTGCTGTGTGGGCAATAAAGCCCGTTTAGCTTTCCCTACGATTGGTCTTCGACCTCGCACTCTTGATTTCTTTAATGAGCTCTTCGGCGTTGCTTTATCCAATTTCCCTATTTCTTCAGGGCTGGCACTCCCATTGCTTAAAGGATCTGACGTTTGTATTCCTATGGAAATTTTATCATCATGCATTGAGCGATTACTATCATCGTTTGCGTCTCTAATATGGGAAAAGATTTCTTGAAGTTTTTTCATCAAACCATCATATCCTTTGACTGATGTGGATGGGTTGGAGACAAACTTCCTGGGTGGTTGGGGAACAACAAACGCACCGTCGCTGGTTCGATTGCTTGATGCAGATGTTGAACTAACAGTAGAAACGAACGATGATCTATTCGGCAGGTTGATTACTCCTCCACTAGTTACACTAGACGGTGAGGTACTGGTTGAAATATCGCCTAAGTAAGGGTCGATCGAGAACCGTTTCGATATCCGTTGATACTCTTTGCACATGTCCATTCCTATATCATTGTCAGTTCTGACGACATACAAAGATAAAAATTCGCAATCTTCATTATGCGACACATGGATATCGAAGACTGGTATATGAGGTGTACTAATGGGTATGGAATGGCCATTTTGTAATGGCGATATGGTTGATGGTGTCGTCGTATTGCTAGCTCGGAAGGACTCGATTTTCCCGCGTGTTCCCTTGTTTCCATTAAGTTTAGAACTATCAGGAGTGATGTTATCGCAAGATATATTTTTAATTGCAACATTATCACTTGGAGTTGAGGAATTCCCATTAGATAGTTTTGAAATCAATTTTGATTTTGCTGGATGCTGCTCAGGACTATCTAGCCCTATCGAACTCAAGCTGTCTGTGCTTTCTTGGTCAGTTGTTTTGCCTTTATTGTATTCCTTACTAATAGCATTAGATAAAGTGTCTGAACAATCGTAGCCTTCACTTTTTGCCTTTTTAATTTCGCCAGGAACAAGGATTTCATCTCTGTTCTTAACAGAAGTTAATTCACTATTATAATTAACAAGTTTTTCATCTTCAACATTTTCGGGTGACGGCGTTAGAATCAGACGCACGTTTTGCGAATCATTCATTTCATCTGGGTTATTTTCTTCAGGAATCGTCTCTGGAATCCCTGGAGCTGGTATTTCCTTGACAAACTCAACACTGGGTCTTGGACTTCCTGTCGTAACTTCCATTTTTTTAAAGTCTGTTTGTTTTTTCGTTATTTTAAGGTGATTGATTAAATCAACACTCGCGGAACGTGACTTTGGTGTTTTGGGAGTTTTAGAAGTGGAAACCTCGGCACTGTTACTTCTTTTAGTAATTTTTCTGGGGCTTGATCGAACAGGAGTACGGACTCGTGAAGTGGATGGTAATTCATCATCCAAATTTCTTTTTGCTACACTAGTTATTTCCATCACTTCATTATCCAAGGATTGTGTATCACACCAAGGTGTTTCAATATTTACAGTTTCACATGCTATAACATCTGGATCTAATTTTAGTATTTTTGCACTATTGTCAGTGTTTTCCTCCGAGTGTTTTCTTTTTGGTGGAGCAATTGTAGGATCTGCAAATATAATTATAAATTCTAATAAAAACTGTGGAACTTGCATTTGCTTTATTTTAACTCAGGAAATTACAAACCTTGAATATTGGATTCAAAAACAGTTGGGTCCTTAATCTGAAAAATTAATTTTTCTAAATATCAATCACTTATTCATTTCATTTGGTTAATGGGAGCCTAATGTTACTTTCTTAGCAAAGATCTAACAGATATCAGATTTTACATTAACATATTAACTATGATCATAGAAAATAAGTTATTTATAGCACTTTTACAAAAATACAAACTTGCCACAAAATTTCCTGGAACATTTAATGTTCCATATTATATACAATGTTATATTTTAAAAGGTTTAAATTTGTTACAAGTTCAATATAATATAAGTATACTTTGGTTTTACTAATAAATATTAGTTATTATTAATTTATTTTGCAACTTTAAATTAGGCACTGTTTAAGTATAGGCCCCTACTCCATTTTCTGTCTTATACAAAATGAGTACTTTTAAATTATAAAAGAAAACACACCTCAGCACTATCATTAATGACTACAACATCATCTGGCTCATACACTGGGCTCTCGGGGAACAGACTTAGCAATGTATCAGCCTCTGCAGTAACTTGATTCACTTGCTCATCTAGAACTAAGCATATCTCATTCAAATATAGTAGAATCAATTTCTCCACCGTTAAAGAAATCTTTCTTTTAAATAAATAATAATTAACAAAACAAGAGATCTTTTGTCATATAATGGTGTACCATTATTATATTGGTAAACATAATATTATTGAAACCAAGTCGACATTACTTCCATAAATTTTGTTCATATTATAGGATTTTAATTTATAACTTATACATTAAGAAAAACAATAACAGATGTTATCTATAATAATAGCAAAATCAATCATGTGTTAAAAAACACGAGTTGTAGATACAGATATTAAGAAGCATATAAGATCATATTATGATAAATTTTATAAGAAATATCAAGAATTATAAATTTTACAAATTACAATTGATCCTACTTTTTAGTAAAAATATATTAAGTTATTACTTGTATAGATAAGTATAGAACTATTAACTATTTTACGATTTGAAGATAAAAATTTAATTTTTTAATCAGTCCTATATTCAACTAACCAATAAATGTAGTCAATGTAAAGTTCTTGGGTAATTATTCATAATCACTGTTACTATAGATTTATGGATGGTCACAAATAATAGTGAGAATGTTTATATGCTTAACATAGTTAAAATTAAAAAGCTATAAATTAAAAAAATTATAACTGCAAATTTTTGAATTCCTATAATAATATAAATAATTTTTATCAATACAATAACAATGAGCTGAGAGATGGTTTAACAAGTTATTGATTAACCCACAAATGTATTGAAGTTAGCAACAAAAACCTGCCCTCTGTCATTACATTGCATAACCTCAAAATAAATAAACTGTGACATTGATTATTGAACAAATTTGTTGTTCAACCCTTGCAGCTATATCATACCATATTTCTCATTTTCATCATACTCGTCTTTACAAGTAATAGATATTAATAGAATCAGTATACAAATTTTCATATGAAACACAATAATTCCATAATTATATATTAGTTTTGTACACACAACCAATTTGAATGACATGAATGTTTTCAGTTTCTGGGTCATTAAACTATCGTCTAATAAGATCAATTGATAGAATTTCATTTCAATTGTTGAATAACGTTAAATAATAAACTGAATACATTAAAAAATCCTTAGAATTCATATAATACAATTTTAAAATAGAACAAGAAAACGTGAAACCATTAACCATCCCAATTTGCTCATGTTTTCTTCAAGCCGAAACAAATTAACACGTAACTTTGATATCTGGTTGTCATTACCTTCTTTATTAGGGGAAAAGGCCATTGCACTGAGTTTTTAGATTGATTTCTCTGTGAATCCAAGTATATTGGACGGAATATGCTGAACTGGCGCGTATTATCACTATAGCATCTGTCACTACCACAAGATATCTAAAATGGACATTTAGAATTGAATTAGCAAAGAAAATGATAAATACTGTCGATTTCCATTTCTACATAGATTTAAGAAAGAAAATTTAGAAATTATATTAAGGTATTTTTTATTTCAAAAATTGCAATAATGCAAACGTTCCGCCGCTTGTTGATTGAGGAAGTGTTGCTAGAATAATTAAGTCATTGTCAAAAAATATTTGTCGGCTTAGTTTTTTTTACTAGCAACTGCCACAATAGAAGAAATAAATATTTTTTAGAAGCCTGGAATTTTTTCAACGTTTTAACCGACTTAAAAAAAGCCATAGGAAAAGCTTATCAATTTAACCTATTATTTATTTTTTAATACTTTAACTGTTTTTAGTTTAAAGTTTAAAACTGATGACACTTGACTGTCTTACGACGTTTCGGGTAATGAGAAATGAGCAGTGTATATTAAATACTTCACTTTATAATTACGTGTGTAATTTTATTAGAGTTATTAAGTATCGTTTGCAGTAGATGGCAGGTATATTTAGTTAAATAAGAAATTATTTATTTTCACGATATATTAGCACAACTCCTCGCAGCGCTAGATAGTGTGCGTTTTCCAATTACAGCACTAGAGCGCATTTTGCGGCATTATGCTCAACGTTGAGTGTTCCAACTACAGCAACGCTTCGCACAATTGAGCACTCTCAAAACGAATGCTCTCGCAAACAATACCAACACAGTGACAGAAAATTGACCAGTATTTTTCTTTAAGTTGGCATTTATCGAAATTTTCGTTAGTAAATATTATTTATTGTTGAAAAATTTGTAAGGCTTTCGTTTCGTCGTAGATTTTGAAAATAATTAAAGTTATTTCAAACTGCTAAAAAAATAAATATTAGTATGGATGAAGGTATAAATAGTTACTTTTTTTATATTCCACATTTAAAATATGAATACAATTTTATTTTAAAATTCGGATCTGTAAACAAATTTACTTTACAGGATTATACTTTAGAAAAAAATGCAATGGTTTTGAAAAAGTATATATTTTTTTAGAAATCATTAAAAAATATTACTCAAAACGTAAATGATGTAAACTTCTTACATGAAACTAAATATTTTACTGTTAATTTAGCTTGTTAAAACCTTATATTCTTTAAAGGTTTTCTCTTATTTCAGTAAAACAAATTTAATGAAATTATTTGATTATTAAATTAAGCGTAAAAAGTTTTCAACCAATTATTATTGTTTACCACATTATTTATACATTAATGAGGTTGCTAACTCTATTCAGACCATTTTTTTGTCAACACTGACTTAGCGCACTCTGCTGATGCATTTGAAAACTATTTCACGTTCCAATTAAGCTTCAGCATTATGCGGCATTGTGCGGCACTGAGTCGAAAAATGCTCTGTAATTGGAAAACGCACAGTGCACTAAAATGTCGTGTGTTCACTCTATATATCCTATAAATAATATACTCTATGGTATTGAGTTTTACTCTGTTTAAAATTTGCTCATCATATTAATAATGTGATACATAACTAGATGGCGCGCGTTTAGTAATTTAATATGAAATTTGAAGGTACATGAAAATTCTAAGGCTATTCTACCGTTATCAAACTTTGTCAAATTTGTTTTTTTTCACAATAAGCTTACTGAGGAGAGTAACTGTATCAATCATTCATAGAACCAAAAACTTTATTACTTTTAAGACTTAAATTTGGCAAATACTTTGTTTCCATTTATTAATTTATAAATACGTACAATTCTTTAATAATTTAGGCCTATAATATTATATAATTATATGTATATATATTTCAATAGTTGGAGTAAAAAAACCAAATATACAAAATGCCGAAAAGGCTCATCGTGCTTTTGCAATTTGCCAACAGGTGGCAGTATTAGCAATGTTACTGCAAAACGAGTAAAATCAAGGACGTTATATTCAAATGATATAGGGGAAGGTGGGGACCCTTCGTACGGTTTTCACATTTTATTTTTTTAATTTTTTTATTTTTCCATGAATCAATCACCTGATAGCTTAAATTTATAGTCTAACTATCTGAGATTCAAATAAAAAAATGACAAATGATTTCATCCGATGTTTCAACCATAATTATGATTTAAACTAAATCTGGAAAACGTACGAATCTGCCCCATCAACGGGGCACCTTCGTACAGTGTTTGGGGTATCTTCTTACGCTGTGGGGTAGTTCAAAATTCATTTATTAGCAATGAAATTAAACACAAAAATAAAGATTTAATTTCTATTAAACAAAAAATAAAATACTTTTCTTATGTAAAACAAAATTTAATTAGTTAGGTATCTTAAATTTAGAATTACATTTTTACTCTTTGGTGTGGATTACAACTTCTTATTTTCGGGTGTGGCAGTATAAATTCGTGGTTTTCCTGGCCGTCATCGTCATTTTGCTTGTTTTATTACTTCTTACAGAATGCGAATAGGGTCGAAATGCCTCTGGTGTCAAAACTGACTTCGAAGGAACTACTATTTGATGGATTGGTAAATTATTCACAGCATCTGGTTCACAAGCATCAAAATCAACCTTAGTCAAGATGCCTTAACAGTAGTGTAATATGTAGAAAGTCGAAAACTTAATTTGAATGAAAAAGACAGTTCGCGTCGACAAATTATTATACAAATTTAGTTGTACAATTCGTACAAATGTGCCCCATCTAGTGCTGTCCGAATGTACCCCACTAACTGAATAACAACAAAATATAACTTATTTTAATATTAATAGGAAAACGTCATAAATTAAGTATTGGAGACGTATCTTAAGTATATTTTGCTAGTTACTGATAGAATACTCTACACGAAAACTTATTTTATCTACGGTAACAAGAGATAAAAACATAGATCAAAAAATTACTTACCGAGCGCGAAAACACGTCTATGCCTGTAACTTCACTCTCATCGGTGCGAATTTCACGAAACTTCGTTGATGTATAGTTGGTACCTCGACTCATGCACACATACAAAAGCAAGACTGTACTTTATTTCGTTCAAGTTTTATTTTGACTGTATGAATGTGCCCCGCGTACGAAGGGTAACGATCTTCCCCTACAACTAGATGGCATTTTTAATAATTTTATCATATTCGATAGTTAAAATGAAATTCTAGATTCTACCGATATTAATTTTCCTGAAACTGACAACTGGTTATCTATGCAATTATAATAACAAAGTTAAATTATATATATTTTAACAGGTCAAATAAGAAGGCTTAAAATGTTTCATTTACAGTCAGTTCACAATGCGCCCGCTTAAGAAGGTACTTGAATAACATCACGTAAAATATTATGAAATAATGTACGAGTCAGTTTTTGTTTTTGGCACTAAAATATTTCCTGAGGCGAAACGCGACGTTATTTCTTCCTTGCCACTAGAATTATCTTGGAAAATATTTTCGTGAGTATTTTGTATCTGATACTGTCATTTAGATACGTAGGTTTGTTACGAGTAGCTGTCATTTGTAAGACATTACTTTTATCGACTTTTGTAAAGATGTAGGTAGTGTAACTTGAATTTTGGCGTGCTTACAGTTTCGAAAAAGACATAGAATGAAGTGATGTATATAGATCACTTAAATATATGTTTTTTTCGAAGTACCCTAATATTACCTATATATTTTTTCGAGTAGTACCCTAATATTTCTATAATCTTATAATATTTTAGCAAAATGGTGAAGGTCTATACAATTACAAACAATACATATCTTTATAAAAGCTTTATAGTTCACAAAAATAGTCTTCATATAATTATTTAAAGTGTAGTAGTAAGTGAAACCACGAATTTATCTTTAAGCCCAGAGTAGAAGTTAAAATAAGGAACGAATCAAATAATGTTTCCGTTTTCAGTTACTTAGATGATCGAAGTTTATGCATTGTTTGTCGAGCGTGTAAAGTATGGGAGCGGATAATATTAGCGAATAAAAATTTAAGAAGACGCTTAAATCATTTTGAATTAGCTATAAAGTTTGGCTCCGACAAGCGAGCGAAGTTTTACAAGGCGAATAGAAAAATTCAGAAGAAGAAAAATTTTCTTGAGCTGAATAAATGTAAAGGTGTGTATTTATTATAAGGGCTTTATATGTTTTATATTATATACTAGAATTCGCGTCACGGGTCACACGGACAAAGATTATTATTTTGAAGTAAAATTGGGTAAATTTTTTATGGATGAAACGCAATAATAATAATATTAGCGTCACGAATATGTGCAGCGTTTTTGTCGAAAAGGGAGAGAGCGATTGAGACCGATTGAGAGAGAGTGAGAAGGTCAAAGTCAATTTCACTTTAATTTATAATAGTACATGTTAGTTACACTGATAACGTTAAGGAAATGTAAAAAAAGGCAATTATTTTGTTTCAGTGAGCTCATCGACATCGAATATGATATCATCAAAACGAGGGGGTGACGACTTATTTGTCTGTACCAAACGGTACAGGTTATTTTAATATTTAGAACAATAAAAGCGAGTCATAAATATGTATATATAACTAAACTAATTACATTATTCGCAATTTTAAAGATCAATTAGGATGAAGGTAAAAATACAAGTTTTCAATGAAAACGTAAATAATTTATTGGAAAAGATTTTATCGATTTTCCGGTAATCCCCTATACAATTAACAAAATGCTCTTTCCCAGGCTTCTGTTAAGGCGGAGCTATTATTTGTACAGTTCATAAATTATATGTACCACAGCAGTCTAAAACATAATATCTCAATGATATTATATGATAAAGCATTGTGGACGCCGGAAACAGGATGCACTGGTGTCAGATGTTCAAGGGCTCTCAGCTCAAAGGAGGATGTTACAATTTCGGGCTCTTATCTCGAAAGCCTTGATCAATATCTCTTGACCCCGTAGATTTTATTCTAACGAAGGT